AGGCTTGTGAGTTGTGACGAGATCATACTCAATGGTGTAATTCCACAATTATCGTCAAAATTTCACTTCTCAGGTAAGCAATGGCTTGCCCTAACTTGTTATTAAAGAGATTGAAAATGTTTGAAGCCTTGTCGGCTTATATAATTGCAGCCTGGTCGGCTTATATGATTGGTTTATTGTGGGATGAACAATTGCACAGGCGCACATAGTAATTGTATTGGAAATTGTAATTGTGTGATGATTGAAATATTTTGTAATTGTTTTTTAGGATAATCATTGGACATTAGATACAGACTCATACACTATGCCTCCTAAATATGAGTCTGGTGCTCAAAAGAGGAAAAGGAAACGAAATGAAATTGCATTGATTCAAAGTCAAGTAGGGGATATTAACAAGTACTTCAAAAGCAACAATGTGAATGCGTTGAATGAGGATGAAGTAGAGATTCAACCTGCCCATGTTAATGAAGTAGATAGTACGGATGAAGAAGTGAGTCAACCTGACTATGTTAATGAAGTAGATGATAAAGAAGAAGAAGTGATGAAACCAGCCTCTAACAATGAAGAAGATGATAAGGAAAAAGAGGGTTCATTTTCTCTAAATTTGGATGATCCCGGGAATTGGAAAATCATTGATCAGAAAACAAGAGATTACTTAGTTGAAAGGGGTCCAAAAATAGTTGATAACATCTCATTTCCAAAAGATTGTACAAATAGACATTTCGATTCTTCACAATATAAGCGACTGCTACGAAATGGGCAAACAATTGATAGAAGATGGCTAGTATATTCAATATCTATGGATAGGATCTTCTGCTTTTGTTGCAAGTTATTTAAAACACCCAAAAATGTGACCAAAGTTGGCCAACTAGGTAATGATGGATTCAAAGATTGGCATAATTTGCATCGGTCTATTAAAAGTCATGAAGGAAATGAAGATCATTTATGTTTCATGACTGACTGGATTGAATTGGAAAATAGGCTTCGAACAAAAACTACAATTGATAAAAGTGTTGAATTGTTGATCGATGCAGAAAGAGAATATTGGAGACATGTATTAACAAGGATAATCGCTATTGTTAAAAGACTCACCAAAAATACCTTGTCATTTTGAGGAGATGATGAGAGACTAAATGTTGAGAATAATGGCCTATTTTTACAAATGGTGGAAATGGTTAGTGAGTTTGATCTAATAATGAAAGAGCACCTTCGGCGGGCTAATGCAAAAGAGATTCAATAAACGTATCTTGGCAAAAAAATTCAAAATGAGTTGATACAGTTGTTGGCTAATGAGGTGAGAAATGCAATTATCAAGAAAGTTAAAGATGCAAAATATTTCGCGATTATACTTGATTGTACTCCAGATGCAAGTCGTGAGGAGCAGATGTCTTTAATAGTACGATTTGTAGATGATTCAGCAAACTTATCTACAGTTGAGGAACATTGGCTTGAATTTTTGAAGGTAGATGACACAACAGGACTTGGACTTGCAACCGAGCTTCAAAAGGCTTTGATCAAACTTGATCTGGATATTGATGACATTAGAGGGCAAGGGTATGATAATGGATCTAACATGAGCGGGAAGCACAAATGTGTACAAAAAGAGTACATGAAATGAATCCTCGAGCTTTCTATACTCCATGTAGTGCTCATAGTCTAAATCTAGCATTATGTGATATAGTGAATTGTTGTTCCAAAGCTGTATCCTTCTTCGGAGTGATACAACGCATCTACACTTTATTTTCCTCTTCTACCAAGCGATAGAAAATTTTCAAAGATAATGTAAAATGGTTGACGGTAAAGCCATTGTCACAAACAAGTTGGGAAAGTCATGTTGAGAGTGTGAAGCCTATAATGGAGCAAACTGCACAGATAAGAGAAGCCTTACTTGATTTGGCAGAATCTAAGGAAGATCCTAAAGTGAAGAATGAAGCCGGGTCGTTAGCAACACATGAACTTCAGAATTTTGAGTTCTTGCTTCGCATAGTAATCTGGTACAGGTTGTTGCATGCAGTCAATATTGTGAGTAAATTTCTTCAAACTGAATCCATGGATATTGATCATGCTATCGATCTATTGCAAGGACTTGTTTTATTTTTTGAAGATTATAGAGAAATCGGATTTGCCGTTGTTATGGATGAAGCACCAAAAAAGGCAAATGAAATGAGAATTGAAGCTGTATTTACAGAAAAACGCATAATTCGAAGGAAAAAATATTTTGATGAAAGCGGTAGTGATGAGGTAAAGCAATCAGCAGAAGAATCTTTTAGAGTTGAATACTTTGTTTTTATAATTGATCAAGCTCTATCTTCTCTGAGGGGTGGATTTGAACAATTCAAACAATATGATGACATATTTGGATTGTTGTTTAATTTGAAAAGGTTAAGGGATGCAACTTTATCAAGTTTGTTGAACTCTTGTATGAATCTTGAGAAATATCTTGAACATGATGGGCGTTCGGACATCAATGGAGATGATTTATGTTCGGAGTTACAAGTCTTGAAGATTTATTTACCAAATGAAGCAACAAGAGCAATTGAAGTGTTGTAATATTTGAAGACTCACAATATTTGTTACCCAAATGCTTATATTGCTTACAAAATTTTGTTAACCATACCGGTTACAGTTGCATCTGCGGAAAGAAGTTTCTCAAAATTGAAGTTGATCAAGACCTATCT